AATTTGTTAAAAACATATTGATAAGAGCTTAGTGTTGAATTAATTTGTCAATTCCCAAAATTGATAAGAGATTAATGCTTAAGTGGCCGAACTGAATGTTTTATTGCTTTGTCATTGAATAATTTATCAAATTGATAAGAGCTTAAGTTGCCGAAATTTCAATTATTTATTTTTTCATAATTTTTAAGTTGCCGAAATTGATAAGAGCTTAAATGGCCGAACTGAATGGTTAATTGCTTTGTCATTTGATAATTGTTGCTTTGAGGCAATAAAAGGAAGGCACATTTCTCTAGAAATTACCCTTTCTTTTATAAAATATCAGTCATCTTCAATATGTTTTGACCTATCATGTTGAATTGTGTTGTGAGCTATGTTGATCGTAGCCAGATTATCACAGTAAAACATTAAAGGCTTATCATGTATAATGCCCATCTCCTCTAGAAGTGACCTGAGCTATAACAACTATGAAATCTCATGTGTCGTTGCCCTGCACTCTACCTTAGTCAAAGACCTGACTAAAACTGACTGTTTCTTACTCCTCCAGGAGACAATGTTCCCCTACAACCAAGGCATGGTAACCCGATGTAGGTCTCCTATCATCAAGCCAATCAGCATCTACATAAGCCTCTAACTTCATGTGTCCTTGCCTAAAGAAGAGGATACCATATCTTGGAGTTCCCTTCAACTAAAATAGAATTCCTTCTACAACATCCAAATGTTAAGGTACATTATCTAGATCATTCTTTTGATTTCTATAAGAGAATATTTCTTTGCTTTATAAATGATATATAAGCATGATTTATATAGTATTTTTCTTAATTCTTATAGTGTTTAGATTTTAAAAAACAAAAATACTCAGGTAGGATTCAAATCCATGTATAATATATCAAATAAGTCACACAATATTATATAAAATCTTAATTTTATGTTTTCTCATGTCCTTATTGCCTATAGATTATATCCATAAAATTTAATCTTTTTTTTGTTCGAGGCTTAGGCCTCAAAACGCCTTTGAGGATTAGGCCCACCCCTACCACACCCAACCACCTTGCCTCCGCCTTTAGCCTTTTAAAACCTTGTGTGGTACTTAATAGTGAATACCCACTTACATTCCATCGTTTCCTTCTTATGAGGCAAATCCATATTATCCCAAGTATTATTTTTGTAAAGTGCTTATTTTCCAGTTTTCATAGCCTCCCCCATTTTGGATTAGACAAAGCCTCTAGAATTAACTTGGGTATAGGCTGAGAAGAAATGAAGGCTAAGAAATAATAATAAGATGAGGACAACAAGTTGTAAGATAAGTGTTTGGAAATACAATGTGTTGTGCAATTCCTCTTACATTTTCTTATAACAATATGTAGGTCCAAGTCTGGGAAGATAGGATCTGGAGCAAGTGATGAGGGACTTGTCCCCTCTTCAGGCGTTGAGAGTGTTTGAGGATTAGTTATAGATGAGGGAACAACATATTCATGATGTAGTTTTTGTCTCCAGTACCACATCTGAAGAATAGGACAAGTAGTAAAAACTAGAGGACTAGTAGGAGGAAGAGGAACGGGAATGAAAGATCTAAGGGACAAAGGCTCTGCCACTGAAATAGAAGGACCATAGATGACTCAACCCCAAGATCAACAAGAGAAAGCAAAGGAAGTGGTGGTAAAGCAAACAACTCAATGAATTGCTCCCCTTGAGGAGAATGACCATAAAAAGGAAGTGACTCCGTGAAGATAACACCCATGGAGACAAAACAAGTTCCATTAGTAGGATCAAAACAGAAATAACACTTTTGTGTGGATGCATACCTTAAGAAAATGCAATCCTGGGTCTTTGGGTTTAAACTTATACCTTTAAGACCTAGGAACATGAACATAACATGTGCAACCAAAGACATGCATGGCAATAAGGAACATTTCACTCTCAGGGAATAGAACAACAAAGGGAGTCTAAACCCTAAGACTCGAGAAAAATCTCACCAAAACATGGGAGACAAAAGGGATGATCTTGACTACTTCAACAACATGTCAATTCTTTCTCTCTACAACCCCATTATGCTTTGGAATAGGTAGACAAGAACTTTGATGTATAACCCCTAACCTCTCAAAGTATGAACAAGATCATTCTCAAAATATTCATTAGCATTATTTGATTGTAATATCTTGATGTGAGTATCAAATTGGGTAAGCACAAATTCATGAAACTACTTCACAAGTTTGGGCACTTCAACATGAAATCGCATAAGGGAAAGCTATGTGTAACAGAAAAGCACATTAATAAACAGAACAAAGTCTTTATAATCACCCATGCAAGGTAAATGTTATGCCCCCCCCCCCCCACACACACACACACACATTAGAGTGTATAATATGAAAATGAATTATAGATCTTTTATTACTTGTATAATAAAAACTTCTACATTGCTTTGACAACTCAAATGACTCATAATGTAAACTTGACACCTTAGTTTCCTTAAACAAATCTCGAAACAAAAGACTTAAGGAAGAAAAAGAAATATAACCCAAACGTTAATGACATAACATAATATACAACTGACTAGGTTGAATACTTGTTAATCAATTAACCAATCGACTCTCCATACAACCTATGTATGGGATTAAGAAGAAGAGAAGAGAAGGTTGGATTGCCACTTTGATACTAAGTTGTAGATCCCACCTGCAATAATCTAAAATAAAGAAAAGAAAAAATAGAAGAAAAGAAGAAGATGGGAATGAGTAAAGTAAATGAGGAAGAAGATGGAAGAGAGAGAGTTCAAACCTTTCTTCAGTCCCCAATAATCTTTTAATTCTTTTGTTATAAAAAATAAGGACAATTATATTATCGCCCTTCATAGGGCGTCCATCACTAAAGACAACAATAAAAGACAATAAAAAAAATAGGCCCACTACCTACTAATGCCCAATCAGCCCACCATCTCTACACTCTCAAAAGCACAACTATGCTTGATCCGATTAGTAGTTGTTGATAGGATCAAGGGTTGTGGACAAGACAATTGGGTTGTGATCTAAACCAAAGATGATTTCATTCAACACAAAGCCATTGGATATTTCTCATGCCAATTGATAAAAGCAAGGAAAATCCAATCTCTCACTAATTAGAATCATTCTCCGACTGTTAGACCAAGTGAAGTAAACACCATGAGCTCCTAGATCAACTAGCAAGCAATCTTCAATGAGAGCAAGAAAGTCTTTGGTGCTTCTGGAAAGCAATTGGTTGCCTTTTCCCTTTTCAACTAGGCGTAGAATTGCATTGAGGTCCCCTTTGTAAAAGGGTTGCTTTGAGAGTTTGAGTAACTCACACCTAATAAAGACAATTGTCAATCATGAATTCATGATAATTGGGTCTGATTTGACTTAATCTATAATAACAACTTGGGAACTAGGAATGACAACAAGGTGGGTTCGGGGCGGGGGTCATATTCCCCATCTCCAATCCCGATTTTGAAATAAATCCTCATCCTCGACCTTAATCCCTATCGGGGATAAAAGTTATCCTCCATCCCCGATCCTTGACGAAGATGGGTTCCTTGCAAGGACTCAAATCCCCAAAATTTTTTAATTGACAATATTGTTTGAAAAAATATATTTACTTTAAATAAAGGAAACTTTTAAAATATAAATAATATTTTAAATATATTTTGATATATAAATAATATCATATATAATAGTATAGTTAATATGAATAATATTCAATATATATATAATTGGGGTCAGGGCAGGGCGGGGACTTCATTCCCCATCTTCGTCCCCACTCCGCCAAATCAATCCCCATCCCTAACTTCATTTTTTGATAGTATAAACTTAATAAAAATAACAATAAATAATAAAATATTTATATGATTACAAAACAAGTGTTCTTAATCAAAATTGTCTTATACATTGTTTATGAAATATATCCTTTTAGATATAAAATATAACAAAAATTACAATAAAATCAAGAGACCTTTATATATTATCAACTACAATTAGGGGTGAGCATTTGGTTTATTTGGTTAAAAATCCAACCAAATAAACCAAAATTTTAAAATCTGAAACTAAAGATGAAAAAAACAAACTGAAACCACATTATAGGAAAACTGAAATGTTCACTTTATTTTTTGGTTAAAACCAAATTTCATTAATATATATACATATATGTATAAATTTATAATATTACATACTATACCATATATTATATATTATACATTAATATATTATATTATATTATATTATATTATACTATATAATTAAATTTAATTTTATTTCAGTTAATTGAATTTCTAATTCAGAAAACCAAAAATGAAACCAATTTTTTTATTTGATTTTCCGCTTTTAACCAAACAATGCAAATCGGTCTCGAACTAATTATTAATAGGTTCTATTGGAATCCTTTAAAATTTTATAATTTTTTAAATTTTTAAAAAATCAAAAATTAAATATGAGACAAAGTTAAAATAATATAAGATGATAATGTCATAGAGTCTAGATTACATGACAACCAAACACGTTCCAACCCTCCACCAACATAATCTCACACTGCACATCTCAATCTCATACATAGCGGTTACGATGGATTCCACTCTCATAGGTCATAGCGAGAGAGACGTGCGATGCTATATAAGTTGGTAGAGGGTTGGTACTTGGAACGTGTATTGTTGGCAGAAGATGTCAACTCTCTTTTTTAACACCAACGGGTCTCTCCTGTTGGAAAATTACGCTCGGTCAAATGTTGGGAACCGGACCCACGTATTCGGAGCAAAAGCACAAGCACTGCTACCAGATGTCAGAGCACTCTCACTCTGCGTTTCGCGGCTTTTGCCAGAGAAGAACGTGAGGGAGCGCATTTTCTGTTCTGACCACCCCGCCAATTAGAAAAAATAAAATAGAAGTTCAGAATAATCTCGATTTAATTTCGTAAGGTACGCACATCACAAGGATCTCTTCAGAGTCTTCAGACCTCAAACCGACTTATCGCCCGCTTCCACCCTCTTAACGGCTATATTTCTTCCCTTCAACTCTCAATTATTCAAATAATCCCCACCACTGACCACACCTCCCAACGGTCATCTCCCACTCAATAAGGCAACTCATGCATCAATCCCCATTACATCCCCGTAATCAATCAACAGTCTCTTTCTTCTGCGGTCCATCCCTTCCAATCGACCACCCAGCCAACTGTCCCAAATCTGTTCGCGTTTATTTCTCTCACTAATCTGGGTTAACCACGCAGCGGCAAAGCGAGCTCTCATGGAAGCTGTGACAGTCCAGCACGTAAAGAAAGCATCTTCGGACGAATTGCTCAGGAAGTTTGCGGACTTGGACGACGAGGCTTCGCGAAAGAAAGAGTTGCGATTGCGAGTGCCGAAACGCCGCAAGACATGTCCGGCGAGTGGCGACAGAGCAAGCTGTGACAGCCCATCGAAGAGCAGTTCAAGCTTGGTGGAACGCAAATCTCTTCTTCCCCGAGCTGCAACCCGGAGGCCGGCGCTGCTTCGGCAGCTCGGGATCGGGAGAATGCATCTCAGAGCGAGGGAAATCAGAAACAAAGCCTTGTTGAGAGCAGTCGAGAAGGTAACTAAACTTGGACTGTTTGTTTCTTACACTGATTACTATCAATTAGACGCAAAACGGGTTATGGGTCTGACCGGATGGAAGCTGTATATGTAATTTGCAGACATGGCGCAAAACAATAGAAGGTGCTTCGAAGGTGTTCATAGAGAAGCATTACAACCGGCACAAGCGTCTCATAAACGATATGGTTTAGCTCAGCTTCGCTGGTTTGTGAACTATTCTTACGTAGGGTCTGTTTGGTTCGCGGTTAAAATCAAAATCTACGGGAATTGGAATTGGAATGGTCTATTTCATTGGCCAGTTTGATTTATATAAGAATTGGAATGAATTGGAATTGACTCTTATTTCCAATAGAAGAGGAAAGAAATGGCCATTCCCTCAAACGAGGAATACCATTCCATTTAAGATGAGAATGGGATTCCAATTCCGCCCAATCAATATTTTGATTCAGATTCTACACCCATATTCCTGTAAACCAAACGGATCCTTAATTCTGCTTGATTTTGATATGTCAATTTGTTATTCTTTTCATTCGTCTATATTTTTTTCCTATGATGTATTCTTTGAAGGAAACGAAAATAAACTGTGAAGTGGGTCAATTTAGAGATGCAATTTTTGGTGTTTTGAATCAGATATTAATTATATTGGGTACCCTACTGCAATAATAGTCGATAAGGGGAATTCTTCTGGGTTGCATAGGAGAGTTCTCTATACCCCTTAGAACGGAAATGATGCTATTTGGCAACCGTTGCTTTGAGGATTTTGGGGACGGGGATTGTGAGAAGTAGACCTGGCAAAAAGTTGACTCAATCCGCGAATCCTACCCAACCCAACCCAAAAAAATAAGGTTAGGGTCTCATATTTAGCAACCCGAATGTGAAAATGACCCAACCCCATCCAATCCAAAAAAACTGGGTTGGGTTGGGTGGTTGGGTTACGGGTCAACCCGTTGACCCGATTGTTAAGTCTAATTGGGATTATTTATGCATTGTTAGAAGTTTCTACTCTTTAATTTTTTCTATTTAGTCTTTACTTTTTATTGTTTACTCTTTGAATTGTTAAATGTTCAAGTTTTTATTTTATATTTGGAATTTTAAGGTTAACTCTTTTAATTTTGACATTTTTCTTTATTTTTTTTAATTTCAATTATTTTTTTGGGATGATTCGAATTGACCCATGGGTCAACCCTAACCCGAACATTTAGGGTTAGGGTATAGCATTTGACAATCCAACCCGACCCAAAATACCTTGACCCCCCAACCCGAACCCAACCCACCCAACCCGATTGGCCAGGTCTAGTGAGAAGGTTGGGATTGGGATTGCAAAGATAACATCTGATCATGGTTTTGAAAAACCTGGATCAGATCGGACGATTGGACCAGTTGACCTAGGAATCAGTCAGATAATCAGTTTCGTTTCACCCTAAAGTGTTTTTGGACAAAAACTGTTGATTTGGTTAGCAATTTGCCAACCCGAGCAGTCGAACCGTCCACCCTTCAACTCAGATAGCGGTTTTTAGCCTTTTTTATTTTATTTTTATTTTTTAAAATCAAAACAGGCCATCCATTCAAACCAGATGATCAGACCATTCAACCTGGCGGAAACCAGTGACCAAAATGGTTTCGTGTCTAGTCTGGCTTTAAAACCTTGCATATGATGAATAGGGTTGAGACATTGGTGGAAGGACCTAACTTTATATTAAGGTACACTGAGCGAGTTTGGCTTCACTCAATGCAAGTTCATGCTCACAACCTTTGAACAGCCTTGTATTAGAAATATCTCCCCATGAAATAAAGCACACAAGTACAGAGATATTCCCAATGCAAGGCTGTAAAAATTGTTGAAACGGATATTCCATGGAGAGATCTCGAATTCAGATTGACACCCCACAGAACACGCCCCACATGCACCTCTCAGCATGCATTCGAAACATGGCTTCGGATGGGCTGTGGGCGCCGAAACCTGTGCAACTTGGGTTGGGATGAAAATTTGTTAAGTTTTCAATGGGCTCAAATCCGAACATGGGCTGGATATGGTTGAAGTTTCTCAAATCGGGCAACCGAACTTATGCCCTTTATGTTAACCTTCCAACTTATTAGTCATTGCTATGTTAGTATTTATAGTCCTGCACTCCAAGTCCACGAGCGAGCTTTCTTTTCATTTCATTCATGTGTGATCGATTACCAAAAAAAAGGGGGAAAAATCATGTGTGATCTGATATGAGTGAGTTTTTTTATACACGTCTAATGGTGCACCCATGGTTGGGGTGTTCATTTATGAGTTAGGTCCAGACCACCAAATCCAATCGAATCAAACTGAAATTGGTGATTTGTATTAGTTTGGATTTAGAAATGGTTCATTTTGGTTTGGGATAATATCAAATTTTGATTTATGGTTTTGGTTCAGCTTTTTAATTTTAGAAACCAAACCAAACCCTAAATCAAAATTTTATGTACTCAAAATGTGAATGTAATTTGTATGACATTAATATATGGCACTTATTAATATTTCAATTTGATATTTAAATTATATTTGTTTATTTATACTGTTATTTGAATTTTCTAATTGGGTTAAGTCAGTGATAGTGGTGGACTAAATTGTATTGATTTCTATATTAAAACAGTTTGATTTATTCTATGAATTGCTCGGACCGTAATTTCTTAGTTTGATTTTAAATATTGTCCAAATTGAACTGAACCGAACTATAAACACCCCTCCTCATAACAACTGAATGAAGTGCACACAATGACTGCATCACAGAAAGAAACAAAAAAAAAAAGGAAAAAGTTAAAGCCAGGTTCTAAGTCTTGATTTTACGATTTTTGTGTAAATAAATGACAATTGAAATTCCAACAACATGTTACAATATTACTCATAACAACTGAATGAAGTGCACACAATGACTGCATCACAGAAAGAAACAAAAAAAAAGGGAAAAAGTTAAAGCCAGGTTCTAAGTCTTGATTTTACGATTTTTGTGTAAATAAATGACAATTGAAATTCCAATAACATGTTACAATATTACTCACTAATCGTATTGGAAAAGTTGGTTAAAATTTTGGATGGTGTGTCTTTATTTTTTTGTTGACTTTAATACAAAGGCCCTATGATCAAATTGATTTAGCCCATTTGATGATTAGTATTAATTATTGAAAAGAAAATAGACAAGTGACAAGCTATGGGGCTTGTCACTTAAAAAACAATCTATCTTATTTTAAAGATCCTAATAAAAGAAAAAAAAATATTGTATAAAGGTACTACCACCTTAGAAAAACAACCTATCCTATTTTAAAGATCCTAATAAAAGAAAAATAAATATTGTATAAAGGTAAGACGGTGATCCACTACCATGTGGCACATTTTAATTGGACCATTCCATTTTTAGCATATGGCTGCCACCATTATATGTTTCTATTTTAAATAAATTATAAACTGGTCTATTTGGTTTGTCGTAATATAGTTTGATGATGTGCGATTTGGTGATCCCTGCTAGAGGATAGCTCAAGCCAAGGGCGGAGCCAGAAATTTTTTATAAGGGGGGCTAAAACCTAAATGAAGTATGGATGGACCCATATGGGGGGCCAACCATTGATGTAGATAGTGGGGGGAGGGGAAAATTTACATAGGAAGTGGAGATTTTCTAAACCATAGGGGGATCCGCCATAGCTCCCCTAGGTCCCCCAAGCTCCGCCCCTGGGTCGAGTTTTTCTCTCAAGGAAGAGATGAGACATTTATATAGGCATTGCTTGGTGTAGGATTCATGTAACGCGTCCAAGATCTCTGGGAAGACATGGCTGGCTGGTCTGAAGTCCTTAGAGGTAGTGGTGCACGTAGACCAGACTTTGTGTCTTATTTGGTTTCCTTTGAAACATTCAATGTAGGAGCTGACTTCCGGAAGACCCAGGAGTGACGGGATGCACACACAGAAGAGGTCGACAAGCATGTCTTGCAGGTCACACCACCTGGACCTTAGTCGAGTCAACAAGTCCTCGAGGGAGGCCACTCCTCATGTCGAGTCCCTTGGACCGGTTACGATGAAGTACCACAGGTCGGCCCAAGACAAGGGTTTCCATCATTTTGGCTAAGGCAAGTCATCACCCTTGTGGTGTTGGGATGTTGTCCAATTGTTTTAAGATGCCACGTGTCATGATGTCAATGGAGGGCCAAATCTACCTTCATCAGAGTTCGTTTCCAATTGTTTGGTCAGATGAAATCAGAATTACATTCTTATTCCTGATAGAATGGCATTTTCCTATATGAAAGAATGACCATTCCCTCCCCTTCTCCTGGGAATTAGAATACATTCCAACCACTTCTCAATTCTCATTCTGATTCCAATTTGAACCATGTAAGAGGAATAGGTAATTCTGATTACAATTCTATCCACATACCAAACAGACCCCTAGAGTGTAGTGATACTTAGAACTTGGATATTCTTATCCACACCTACCACAGGACATTACAGCTGTATATTGGGAATATCTTCAGTGTTAAAATATTATATTCCTAATGTACAATTATAATATAATTGTAGCAAAAAATACTTAAAAAAAAAAACCTTTATCAAAGTAGTTTTCATAGTTGACAACATATAATTTTTTTTCAAAAGTACTTTTCATAATTGAATCCACCAAACTTTTAATCCATAAAGTTGGTGAGGCTTAATCTTCATGGGTAAAATGGGATCCTAGGCAGGTTGTGTAAGAGGTAAGCATCCAAAAAGTAGGAGATGTGTCGTTTGTCTAAAGCCTACGTAATTGGAATCTTCCATAAATGCGTGTTAGCAACACGGTTCTTCATACAACTTTCGGTCATGCATGGTTGTGAGTTGTGACCGATTCATTTGGTGCTTTTCTTTTTCTTTTCTCTTTCTCTCTCTCGTTTTCTCACCTTTCAACCTTTCTTCTTTGACTTGTATGCGTATTTAGTTTATAGAATATTAAAAGACTTGTGTCATGGTAATCTTCGGTATGATTGCAGTTTCTATTAACTTTTTTATCTGAATAGTGGGATTAGTGGTCCTTAGGAGTTATTACAAATGGACCATTTTGGGTTAGTCTAATTAAATGTTCGGACCATTTAATCTGTTCAAATTTGTTTTTAATTTCTAACCCAAATCTGTTCCATTGATACCTATATTTGTATCATCTATCAATGAATCGGATATTGGTTCAATCCAATCTAATCCAATATAATTTCATTATAGATGGACTAGCTCCAATCCAATCCAATCAATATTTTGGATTATTAAGTCTGAACTGGTCCAATTCAATATATCTTAGTCCGTTCAATCCATCCAAATTGATTTTAGTTTAGAAGAGATCCAATCCATAATCGGTTCATTCACACCCCTATTAGTGGATAAGAAGTCAGTATGGATACAGGGATTGGAACAGAGAACCTGCACCTACAGCCACATCTTCATGTGGGTATATGCTGAACGAGGGGGTGGGGTCCTCATTGTTTGTCCAGAAAGAAAGAAAAAGGAAAAGAATACCAAAAAGGCATAGTACCTAAAATTCATAATCAATCATGTGGGTTTTAATCAAAATGGTGGTTTTGATTGATCAAAATCCTTTTCAGTATCATGTCTTTTGGGCATTATGGATTTTTCTGATAAAAATAAAAACT